ATCGCATCTTCAGACTTAACAACATTTCCAAGGCCTTGGTCTTTCTGGATGACAGACATGTGAGTGTGTTGTTGACATTGCTCTGACATGTATGAATGACATGATTTCAAATCAGGAATAACAAGTGATCGATGTTTCCTTGTTGTCTCCCAGGTAAAGCTGCTTGGCATCGATGCTTCTGGAATTGCTGATGGAAAACCGTCTGTTGTTCTTCACCTTGTTTGGAGCATCATCTTGCATTTTCAGGTTGGATTTATCATCTATGAGTCAAATGTCTTAATGTATCATCTTAGACTCACACCTCTGTGCTCCTCCTGCACAGGTAAAGGAGGTGATGGGAGGCCTCCAGAAGCATTTGTCTTCCAGCCTTTCCGCCTTGTCAATGAGCAGTTATCCATCCTCTAATGACCTCTCACCCCAGCCAAGTGACACTGGCACATACTCTTGCAGCACTCTGCCAAGTAAAGGCAGGAAGGCTGGCAGGGAAGCAAAGTATCATGGGAAAGCAATCAAGGTGCTTCTGCAATGGGTCCAAAGATGCACATCAAAGTGAGCATAAAAAGATCAAAACACTTACAAAGTCATTTAATTAACACTGAGCCCAAACATATTCCCGCTCAAACAATGAAACAAAATGTCAGCAGGTTACTTTGAGCTCTAATAGGTGGTAAACGTATCCCAACATCAGCCCAAAATGAGCTTTCTTGTTAGAAATCAGAATAGTTTCAGACTGAGCTGGAGCGATGGCTCACACTGTCATTTAATTAAATGGCATTTTAAACTTTTTGCAGGTACGGGGTGGACGTGAAGGATTTTGGGAAGAGCTGGAGGAGCGGCTTGGCATTTCTTGCTTTGGTTAAGTCCATAAACCCAGACATGGTTGATCTGAGGGAAAGCTTTCATCGAGATCCAGTGGAAAACATCCGGCAGGCTTTCATGATAGCCCATCACAGCTTGGATGTACCTCCACTGCTGGAGCCTGAAGGTAAAAGATCACCACGTTGATTATGTGCCCAGAGTTATGAGAGATTTCCTCTCATGTTTACAGCAAACTGTAAACATGAGAACAAGTCTTCTATAAATGCATATATGAAACTCAAGCCCAGGGGGCTGACAGGACAAATGGAAATGAATGAATGTTTCTCTGAGGTGAGCGTATAGTGGATGGAGAAAAGGCACAAGCTGGTGCACAAAACATCAACAGCATACAGGAAGCTGTCAGACAGCACAGGACAGCCCACAGCTCCCACTGCCACGCCCCCGTTCTTGCAGCATGAAGATGACG